TGCTTTATTCCAAAATAACACTTATACAGTGATTGATTTGTATTCCAAAGTACTTCCATGATACAATTCATACGATTCATGTTATGATACAAATAAAATAACAGAAGTAGTTTGTCTCAAGTTTGATTTGGAGATTTGACCCAGAATGTAAAATCAGATTGTCACCACATGCAAAAATAAAGCACTCGAGTGATTACCTCCGCTCAAACCACTGTTCAACGATGAGATTCACAAGAAATTGCAACCTACACATTAACACCAAAGGAGGGAATCACAATCGAACGGATCGAAAATGTTATCGTAACATTTTCTTTTATTCGCTAAAATGCAGAGAGTCATCCAAACTTTGCCCCCTTATAGAAAACACTCTTTGTTCGATTGGTACGAAACTCTTTTGATTGCGGTGCTAGCAAAGAGAGTGGGACAATTTCTTTGTAGTGTTAAAAAGGATCAGCACACAAACACGCCAAAAACGGGATAGGGGGGGGACATATTTGTCCTTGCGCTGGGCTTCTCTCTCTCTCTCTCTCGCATGATAATGGTAACTCATTTCCGTGGGAGTTGTCGTTCTCGGTTTTTGTCGCAGAAGGAGTTGAAATGTTATGAACTGGGTTGGGATGTTTAGAGCAGCGAACAAGTGGTGGAAGACCAAAACACCACCAAGAAGTGGGTGGGCTGAGGCAACCGTAACCAAACATGACGGGATATTGCTGCGAGCTGCGATAATATGTTGCCAAAATAGAAATTGATTCCTACACGGATCGAAAACTATGTACATAATAAGTTGTATGTTAGTCGTATCGGAAAAAGACATTGATCCAATCGAAACCTTAATTTCCTATTCTGGCAACATACACCATACACTCCGCACTAACATCGAAGAGAAGACAGGAAAGAAAAGCTCGTAGACAGGCACGAGTAGCAGTTAAGTTGACGTTAAGCTACGTTTTGCACTCTTTCTCTCACCACCGTGATCGATCCATTGAAGAAGCCACGTCCAATCTGCTGCTGCTGTTGCTGCGGCATGTGATGACCACCATTTAGCGGTTCTTGGGCAAGTCGGTCGTAGTTGTATTTACCCCCTCTGGCACCATCACTTCCTCCTCTGTCCAGAAGGCGTACATTGAAAATGGTTCCCAGAAATTCCGCAACAGCACCGAAAGCTCCGTTAGGCGACTTCATGTTTATAATTTAAATTACAAAAAATCACACTTGAACTGAAGTAATACTATTTAACTCAACCTTCCCAACAACTGACACGCATCCGCTACCGATAGTGATCGGAACTAGACAGAAATCAACTTAATCACGGCAGCATTTTACTGCTACGCTGCAATAGTTTATCAGCAATAGGTAATAGACTATTACTTTTCCGTACCCCGAAGAGATTTCGGTCGCCTTCCAGACGGTCACTGCCTGGCTGCTGCCTATTAGCTGGATGGAAAAGGCTGACGCAGTATGGCAGTATCCTACACTGCGATGACACAGACGATGTTTGTCTTCCACTTGTAGGTAAAACTCGATTCCCACATTCACCGCACACTGTCCCCTACCGGCGGACGGCTCTTCCTCCGACTAGGCAAAACAATTACCTGCCTGATCACGCGATTTATTATTACACCCTTGCGTTTTTTTTTTTCTTATCGCACAGACTTTACCGCAGTTTTATCACTTGCCATTATTCTCAATTTGGACGGCTGAACCTAAATTACACGTATGCGAAAACACCAATCAGCTCTACCACGCCTCCCGACGGAATCCGGTTCCGCAAGGTAGCACGACTCAAACGCGGACAATTCCAGGAAAACGGACCCGATCCCGACACAGTTAAAGATCTTAGCGAGCGCTCGATACGCGTGAACCACGACAAAACTTTTGCGGAACGAACAACACACGTCAAAAAGGATTGCGGACGGATCAAAAAATTTGACAACATCACCTCTCGCACACAAGCATCCTAGCTCAATCAAAACAGCAAGAACAACAGTAGAAAATAAGGGCACTAACACATCCACAAATCCGGCGATCCTTGGTTGTGTGCGTATGTTTCGTGACCGGCATCACGAAACGAGGATAAGGCATTGGCTGAAAACATCGTCGCGAATGAGAAATAGAGCTACCTGTAAACGAGTAAAATTAATTATATTGTCGTTCAAGTTGGACATCGGAAAATCCCACACGCGACATTCGATTTTACCCTCGTTCTGTACGTTAAACATAACGTCGGACATAGTGCGCTGAATAGCGCATCATTGTGTGAATACAGCGCACTATGTCCGACGTTATGTTTAACGTACAGAACGAGAGTAAATTCAATTGGCGCGTGTGGGATTTTCCGGTTTTCTACTGAAACGATAATACTAGCTCTGAATCATCACTAATTTTCGGTTTTATGACCGTACACAGAAAAAAAAGTTGTTGAATATTACATCCAAACTGCTGCAACCAGGTCAATCCATCGGTTGTGTAATATAACGTTGTACGATGTACATCGATTTTGCGAACAAAATTACAACCATTGATGTAATATTGTATCTGCTTTTTGCTATTACATCATTATTTCATACATCAGCTTAAATTACATTGATCGATATTACATTTTTTTTTTGCTGTGTATAGTGCCAATTATGACTCATATTCTTGCTACACAAAGTCATCTCGACATGTTCATACATAATTATAGCTAAAGACATGTTTGAGCATGCAAATAATGAATGAGTTAATTCGTGGATCGTGCCACTTATAGATACTTTAGATTCCATAGGTAAGTGCCCTAATAAACGTGTACCATATACTGATGATATCTTAGATGGTGCGACCATACCACATAAAATTGGGATGATATCCCGAATTGGTGGTTAGGCGCATCTTATGGTTATTGTTTATGCGGGTGGTGGCACAAAAAGGTTTTGACAACCATGAAAAATAAATGATCTTACTGGCATGCGTGAAAAAAGTTCATGCCATCATAGAGCTCTTCGTTGTGCAGTTTTGTTTTGTTTCGTGCGTAAAAGTTCAAAATGAAGCGCAGCAAATCTTTGCAACAATGTATTGAAGAATGGTTTGCTTTATTTTTCCTTCTTCCGTTGTCCGCGAAATAAATCGGAATGTGGAGTGTGGAAAGCGTTTTGTGCTCATAATATTACAATACTTCTCCCTCAAACAACACCATGATGACGTCATGCTCGTTTGGCTACATTAACTGACAGTTCGTTTGGCTACATTACACATTTCCTCCGCTTATCTATGGAATCTATACCCAACAAACATTGAAAGTTGAATAAGAGCTTATTCAGGCAAAATTATGCTTCTTCAGCTAAAAAATAGCTTATTCAGCTTTTAATCAGCTCAAATCGTTTGTTGCTGACATATTGCTGATTGCATCTGAAACTGGACTGCACAAAAAGGCAAAAAGTGTGATAAAAGTGCAGGTTTCCGTCAAATCGTTTTGGTGTCTTGGAAGCGCTTATTCCTTGCAACATAAGGAATAAGTGCACCAAACATACCAAGACGATTAGATTCGCACTTTTATCACGCTTTTTAATAAGTGAAAATGCGCTTAGAGGTCTAGTTTGGTATGAAATGTGCAATATCTAACAGCGAATATCTGTGTCAAATTAAGCATAACATTTATGTATACACATCACTGGAAACTATACAAAAAACACTTAAATGTTATGTGTTATATGCACATGAGATTTATGTTTTAAGATCATAGAAACTATTCGATGAGTCTTATTGCAAAAATCTATGTGTGAGACACATGCAAACAATCATTAGATTATGTTAGAAGCACCATGGGCCTCACACATAAATTTTATTTGCAAAACATATGAAATTCATTTCTTTTAGAACGTTGATTTTATTTGTGGGAAACCAAATATTTTTTATGTTCCCCAAACATATTGTTTATTTGTGAGGCCTAATTGCAAAAAAATATGTGGTTTCACCTAGGGTTTCACACATAAAAGGTATATGGAAATTCACCTCGGTGTAGGGGAACAGGATTTTTCAGTAATCAAAGGAACACGGTACAGTAATCAAAGGAACAACTTTTTGGCTTAGCTCTGGTACTCTCTTCGGTCCCAAGCTAATCGATTCACCCCTCGAAACCTCGCTCAAAACATAGGAAAATCCACTAACCCCTCATTTTATCTGTCAAACTTCCATAGCGAATCAAAACAAACATTGTGTAGTATTCAAAGTGTTTTTTATGTTACTTCATACGCGAAGTTAACGATTTTCAGAGTTGGTTGGAAATGCTAACATGAAGCTTTAGTGTGATGATTTATTAGCTAGAGAATGATCTTTAGAAGAGGGTAGGTGGATAGTTCCGTTAGAGTACGGCAGTATGAAAATTGAATAGAAGTTGAAAATGAGCGAAGGGCCATTAATACGACAGTTTTTAAAGATAGACGCACATTTTTGCCTAACCCGTACGATGTACGCGGGGACTTGAAGTATGTCTCCAAGTCCACAAAACTTGTCGCATTAATGGCCCTTCGCTCATTTTCAACTTCTATTCAATTTTCATACTGCCGTACTCTAACGGAACTATCCACATACCCTCTTCTAAAGATCATTCTCTAGCTAATAAATCATCACACTAAAGCTTCATGTTAGCATTTCCAACCATCATTGTGTAGTAGTAGAATTTCAACTAGAATGGGGTACGTTAATCGTTTGCTTGGGACCAATAGACTAGTCAAGTAGTGAGCCAATTTAAAATGGTTAGTTTCGTATTGATTGTTGGTAATACCAACCGGTGAAAACTAACGATTTCGTCTGCAATAATGTGACCAACCTTTATTGAGTTTTCGGATTAGCAAGAACATACTGTAGAGTTACATTTAATCTTCCCTTGAAAAAACATCGCATGCGAGAGAAAACCCCGAAAACCCAAATCAAAACAGAACAAAAAACAAAATATATCAACCGAACAGTTCGCTCAGTACCGTTTTTCGATTCGATAACAGAATTTTATTTTCATTGGCGCCGCGATATGAATCAGAAAGTAATCATTAAAATAACGCTCCCTCCCGAGGAAATCCTCGCTACAAAGTTGCTTCTATGCCAAGTGAACGGTTGCGGGGAGCAGTTCTCCAATGCGTCCCATCTGCAAATGCATCTTACCCGGCATCATCGGCTGCAGTCGGGAGGCGCAGTTGGACTCGGAAATGATTCTCACGTGAAACACTTTCACTGCCCCGTGGAATCCTGTCTGTATCATCTCAATGCCAGCGGCGAGAAGTTTTTCACTTCGTTCCGAAATCTCAAGCAGCACTTTTTGAAAGTGCATTCGGTCAAGGTTAGTGAAAAAGGTCCCCGGATTAGTAAACATGAAGCTGACAATATTGTTTTTTTTTTATTTAGAACTTTATCTGCATCAACTGCAACGGTCAAAAATCATTCGCTACAGAATCGCTTCTAAGAGCCCATCAGACAAACTGTGGCCAGTTATTCATTTGCAAGATTTGTGGCTATTCCTATGGAAGCCGGGAAGCTCTGTTGACTCATACCAAGCGGAAGAATCATGGATACGAAGAACTTTTGATGAGCAAAAACAGTAAACGAAAGGCCACTGAGATTCCGCTTGATGTGCCAGTAAAAGCTGTGAAGGGATTTGCAAAATCATCGATCCAAGTTCAAACAGAACTGCCAGAAGATGAAATTTGCGCAGCAGATATGGCAATCAAAAAGTCGCAAACCACACAGACTGACATCGATCCTCCAGATCTAGCTGCAAAGATTGAATGTTCCACTCAGACTGCAACAAGCTCTAATCAGGGTTCAGTCGAATCCGTGAATGCATCGACCATGGACAACTTCTGCCAAACGAATTTGGAGCAGTTTAATTATTTTGAGGACAGCAGCCTCACTTGCTTCGGAAATGTGACCGTAGCATCCAATGCTTCATCGGAATCGGTCACGTGTGTTTGTACGGAAACGCAAACCGATCTCATCTACGACGAAATGTTCCCGAACGAAGATCGCACCGATCCGATGCTCTACTCGCACATGTACACTCAAACGTGTGATGATATATTTTCCGATCTGGCCCTGTCCACAATTGAGACGCAAACCAGCTGGGGAGATGGGTTGGGTGAATTTCTCGTTTCAACAGAAACCCAAACTAATTTGATGCAAAGTGGATCTACGGAGTGCGATGCTGAGGGGAAAATTTCCTCCATTCAAACGCAAACCTCGGCCAGCATGGAATTTCTGAATGCCATTAGCTCGGAAAGTAGCTCGATTCATACGCAGACTTCCTGATATTGTACCGATGAGGCTGACTATCGATTGGATTTCTAGTAGATGGACCAGTGAGGGCGATGGACTAAAGGGTCAGTACTCTTTGTATAGTATTAGAATGTTACATTAGTCAAGAAATCTATGATGGAAGTAGTTCCTTAAAATTAACGAATCTGGATGTCGATAGGTGTATATCGGGCTGTTCTATATTGTCTCGAGCCCAACGTAGGTATTTAAATTGTTCAACAAATCTTATGACCTCATGCAAAGCACTTAATATTTAGATGCAGACGATTTGCTTTAGTTACTGCTCTAAAACCAAACCGAAATCCCTTTGATGAATATGTGGCATTTTTCTTCACCCCATCATAAAGTTGATTTTTGTATACAGGTGGGTAGTGCAGTCCATCCACCGCTATTTCTTGGGTGTCTTCTTCTTCTTCTTCGCTTTTCAAGCTTATTGCATATCGCATATTAGCTTATTGCGTGCTCTCAACTTAGTGTTCTAGATGCACTTCCACAGTTATTAATTGAGTGCTTTCGATGCCTGTACCATTTTTGCATTGATATGATTGTGTGGCAAGTCCAATCATACTTCTATGCCCAGGGAAGTCGAGAAATTTTCCAACCCGAAAAATTCCTAGACCGGACCGGGGAATTGAACCCAGCCACCTCCAGCATGGTCTTGCTTTGTAGCTGCGCCTTTACCGACTGAGCTAAGGGAGGCCCCGAGGTGTCCTCCATTTGGTTTCAGAGAACTTCGCATGACTTTGGAGAATTTTATTAAACTTCAGGAAACGTAGCACTTTAAGGAACTTCATACATCTTGCAGAAATTTCTTAGAGCTCTAGAAAACTTGCTAGAAGTACTAGCTAACTTTGTAAAAGCTCAGCAAACTTTGTAGAAGCTCAGCGGGCTTAATTTGATCGAACTTAAGTGAACTTCGTAGCAGTTCTAAAAACTTGCTAAAGTGCTAGCTCATGTTGTAGAAGTTCACTGAACTTAACTTCATAAAACTTAAGTGAACTTTGTAGAAGTTCAGAGAATTTAGTAAAACTTAAGTATAGAACTTCGTCATACTTTGAAGAAATTTGGCGAGCTATAGAGAAATTGAGCGAATATTATAAAAATTCTGGGAACTTCGCTGAAGTTCACTGATTTTTTTCAACTTCAACTTAGTAAAACTTTAGAGACGTCAGGGGACATCGTCGAAATTCTGAAAATTCAATAGTAATTCAGGGACCTTCGTAGAGCTTCAGAGAACTTCGTTGAAAATCAGAGAGCATTACAAAAATACGGGAAAACTTTGAAGAAGTGAAAACTATGCACAAATTTGGGAAGCTTCGTTTAAATTAAGGGAATTTTATTTAGTTTCTGCAAACTTCATAAAAGTTCCGGAACCCTCTTTTAATTTAATAAAAAAACATTTCGTAAGATTTTAATGGACTTTTTTTCTTTGATTTGTTTTCCATCGATCTTGTTTTCCGTATCAATGCTACCGACGCTAGGGCGGCAGCTCCCACACCTATCGACCCATCAACTCATAGACCGGCGTCCAACCGACCGAAGTAAAGCATGATCATAGATTTTATGCCTCAGAAAATCCCGACGGCGCCAACTGGGATTGTACCCAGGCCCTTTGCAGTGATAGGCAGTCACGCCAGTCAAAAATAATGCTGAATTAGGGGGTGTCCGTGCCCCCTCCTCCTGCCCCCTCTGGCTTCGCCTATGTGGCATTGGTCATTCCATCGGTTGTGTAATATTACATTGTAAATACAATGTACACAGAAATCACGATGGATGCAATATTCCCGCATAAACGCGAACCATAAATTGACCTTACCTAAAATGGTTAAAAATGGTTTATAATCCCTGCTAAACTTTAACTGAAATGGTTATGGAACTTTACATGAACGTTTAATGATAAAGTTTCAACCTTACGTATTATGGTTTTTTGGAACTGGACCTTACAAATAATGGGTTGTTAAGAACCATTACCGTTCCAAATTCTTGTTTTCACCATACATTTTCGGAAAGAGAACTATATTAGAACCTTTTAACTTATGGTTTGAGAACTTTAATGGTAATGGTTATGGTAGTCAGTAAGGTCCACGAATGGTTTTGTAACATCGATCAACTTTATGTGGAATATATCGCGAATTGGTTGCCTGTAATTTACTGATTACCAATTCACGATATATTCCACGTAAAGTTGAGCGATAATACAAAACCATTAATGGACCTTACTGACTACCATAACCATTACCATTAATGTTCTCAAATCATAAGTAAAAACGTTCTTATATAGTTCTCTTTCTGAAAATGTATGGAGAAAACAAGAATTTGGAATGGTAATGGTTCTTAACAACCCATTATTTGTAAGGTCCGCTTCCAAAAAACCATAATACATAAGCTTGAAACTTTATCACACAAACGTTCATGTAAAGTTCCATAACCATTTCAGTTAAAGTTTAGGAGGGATTATAAATAATTTATAACCATTATCGGTAAGATCAAGTGATGGTTCGCGTTTATGCGGGTTGTATTTGTTTTTTTGCTATTATTTACATCACTGTTTCATCCGTCAGCATCAGCATTGCTATTATTTACATCACTGTTTCATCAATCGTACATTTTTTTGCTGTGTATATTTTACACCCAGTTCCCCTACTAGTTGCAGACGAATATCAGTCCACTACCCTATTCCATGACATAAAATCAGATTCTGTCAAATCGAAGGTTTTGTTTATTTTTGAAATGAAGCAGAAACGTCAAAAAAAAACGCATCAACAAAAAAAAAAATCCACCTGGCCGCTGACGGTTTTTGTTGTTGTGTTTGTTGTTGTTAGTGGAACGACGGGTAGCACGAATGTCGCATTATTTGTCGGTACTTTTAGCGCAGACAATAAAGAAAGGTTGAATTTCATTTTAGGCGTACAACACAGTTCGGAGGCGACGAAAATTAGCTCCCAATCGAAATTATACGGGATGGCCAACGTCGTACAATAGTGACATAAACTGCGGTTCAATAACTTCCCTCAGCAAAACGAGGACACTGCTGGATCAGCCAAAATTTTGAGTGGAAACTTTACGAAGCTCTCACGGTAAGACTGATTTTGGTAAGAAGTAGTGTTCTCCGCAGGATGTCCGATCACGGTTGTGCTCATTTTGCGGCTTTTGTAAAGGAGTATGGGCTGGAATCGTTCAGCGTGGTGCATTCCTATTTCAGCACCTGCATCAACAAGGATGCCCGGCGTCGGAAGGCTTTGTCCTGCCTGTGCTACAAGTGTGGTAGTTCCGGTCCGCAGCTGTATTCGTGCTTACAGTGTATCTATTTCGGTTGCAAGGGTGCACACATCAACGACCACTGCAAGCAGACCAAGCATTACATCGTGCTGGAACTGTGCTATGGAATGATCTTCTGCTATCAGTGTAAGGATTTCATCTACGACAGCGAATGTCAAGCGGTAGCTGAGAAGCACATTAGGAAGGAAGCGAAAAGCTTGAACAAGAGTTTGTCCTGGAGACCGTGGTCGCCTTCGAAGCTGGAGATTGATTTGCTACTGAAGAATCCAAAACGCCGCCATGTTACGGCATTTACCAGTATTGGCCTACGAGGGCTGTTGAACCTGGGCTCGACCTGCTTCATGAACTGTATCGTTCAGGCATTGATTCATACTCCTCTTCTAAGGGATTACTTCCTTTCCGAGAGACACGAATGTACCACAAAAACAGCTGCCAAATGTCTTGTGTGCGAGGTGTCGAGACTGTTCCAAGAGTTTTACTCGGGTGCCCGAGGACCCCTATCGCTGCATAGATTACTGCATTTAATATGGAACCACGCACGTCACCTAGCTGGGTACGAGCAGCAGGATGCTCACGAATTTTTCATTGCTACGCTGGATGTTCTCCATCGCCACTGTAAGATATCAATGAACGAAATTGCCGCAGCTGCAGCAGAAAAATCGAAACAGTCCCAGCCACAGCTGCAACAGCAAGAAAATCCAACCCAGTGTAACTGCATCATCGATCAGATCTTTACCGGAGGTCTTCAAAGTGATGTCGTTTGTCAGGCTTGTAACGGAGTATCAACAACGATCGATCCATTCTGGGACATTTCGCTGGATTTGGGCGAAGCTCAGAACCAGGGATACGGTGGCCCACCGAAATCGTTGATTGACTGCCTGGAACGCTTCACACGGGCAGAACATCTTGGTTCCAGTGCAAAGATCAAATGTTCCAGCTGCAAAACCTATCAGGAATCGACGAAGCAACTCTCCATGCGTACACTGCCAATCGTAGCCAGCTTCCATCTGAAGCGTTTCGAACATTCTAGTTTGGTAAGAGCGAATGGTTTGTTGTTCATTGGCAGCGATGATCGATCATTAATTCCTTTTGATATTTTCTTCAGATCGACAAAAAGATCTCGACCTTCATCTCATTCCCATCGGAGCTGGACATGACTCCATTTATGTCGAAAAAGAAGTCTGAACAGTCGCAATCGTCCGGGTCTTCTTCTTCTTCGTCTTCATCGAAAGCCAAGTCTTCGGATCGAAAGCACGGTGCCACGGCAGGAACCGGCAGCAGCAGTGGAAGTTGTCCTGGAAATGACGATGACCAGAGCAACAGTCGACTCCCGCACGACACCAGTGACTTCCGCTATTCACTGTACGCGGTCATCAACCACGTGGGAACGTTGGACGCTGGACATTACACGGCGTATGTTCGACACCAGAAGGACATCTGGGTGAAGTGTGACGACCACATTATAACGACTGCCACACTCAAACAGGTGCTGGATAGCGAAGGGTATGGATGTGTCTCTCTTATGGGTGATATCAGAAATTTTACGATTATTTGGTTTATTTTTTGCAGTTACCTGCTATTTTACCACAAGAAGATTCTCGAATATGAATAAACAACAAACAACAGTACTAATGCTGCGTGGCATAGTCGAGCATAAACGGAAACGTGGATGGTGTGATTCATAGGGATAGACGTGTTAGTGAGCCCATTAAGATTCGAACTAAGGATATACTCTCCTACAACTTATTTCACTACTAGATTGTAATCAAACAATTATGAAATAAAGTCATGACTTTCATTTGTAAAAGTGACGGAATATTTCACTCACTCATTCACCCGTGTATCCTTCATGAGGTCAAATATCTGTCGAATTCCTTGATGGTCCTTCCAGATTCCAATCCGGACCTTGCTTGCAGATTTGGTTTCGGCCCTTTCGTAGTGTGTGGCCAACCTACCAGGGGGGAGTGGAAATGTGAACTCCCTGTCTTCTTCTAGGATTTTTACGCTTCTGTAGCGACTTATTCAAATAAATTCAAAATAAGATTCTTTTTGTTTCAATAAGCCACTTTTCAACTGCAACTATTGTAAAAATAACAATATTCTTTTATTAAGCCAACAATAGTTAATTTTAATTTAGCATTTATTTGTTGTTTCCATTCCCCAGCCCATGAATGCAAAAATAACTACCAACCATTCCCTCGTTTTCACCCGGAAAAAATGTAAACAATAACACAAAACTGTTCTCGTTTGATTCAACTCTTTTCCGCGTTCCACGTAAGTATTGTTTTTAACTGTGAATTTCGGGAAATAAGTGCAAGATTCCCGGAAATCTTGAGACTTGAGGTTATTAAGTATGCTGCAGTTGCTAAATATAATCAGTTTTACTGTTTTTTTTTTCGTTTTTTCCTTGATTTTTTTCCGTACTGAGTACCAATGCTCCCGACGCACAGTGGGGTATTTATTAATTCTAGCTGGCCAAAAATATTTAACCACTCTAACTTGTCACATATATATTTTTATTCAAGGATTAAACATTTTTTTGGTAAAAAAAGGGTGGAGTCGTATTTTGGAGGGGGGTGGGTCATGTTATAATAATGTCTTTTTTTTAATTTGTAAGTCGTTAAGCATTTTTAAATTTAGTTATCGTCAAAGGATGAAATGTTGGGAACAAATAATACTTTAAATATAAAATATAAAAAAAAACACTTACACCTGCGGTCAATAAAAAAGCACCAAAGGGCAAATTTTGTTAATGTAACCAAATTTGACATGCTGTAACTTTGTTCTGTTATGATCAATTGAACTGAAATTTGGCACAGAACCACAAATATGCTGAATTTAGCGCGAACAAAAGCCTTTTCGAAACTTTTTTGAAACTCCTGCCGGAAATTGACAATATGGTTAAAAATGCTTGAAATAATAGCATTTTTTAAATTAGAGATATTTCAAGATTCTCATTTTAAATTATTTTTCGTACACGCAAACTTCACCATAGTTTGGTTCTTCATAACAATTTCAGCTTAATTGATTATAACAAAACGAAATTAAATCATGTAAAAGTTGGCTAATTAAAATTAAAATCCGCCTATGGTGCTATTTTCTTGGCCGCAGGTGTAAACATTTATAAGAATATAAAAAATTGAAGATTTTTTTTTACGTTTTAAAATCAGTCTTTGTGAAATGAGTTCAGCAAAAAAAGAACAAGATATTTATATTTTGATTTTGAGATTTAAGGTGAAAATTAATGGAATCCACAAATGGCTGCTAATTTTTGGCGGCACAAATTTAAGAAACTAAAAGGGTTTCGTGTGCCTGCACTAGAGCATACATGTCATTACAGTTTCATGCACGAAAACTTTGAAGTTTCTGAGATTCGTGCCGCCAAAAACTCGAAGTGATAAGGCAAAATAAACAAAATGGCGGCCATTCATGGATTCCATCATCTTTTACCTTAAGAAAATGCTTATATTAAACCGAGTATTACACAGCAACAACATATCTAACAATTCAAAAACAAAAACAAAACAACTAGAAAAAAAAACAAATGAAATTAAACGAAAAAAAAATGTCATTCCGAATTTGCGAACACATTTTCTTGTTCACTAGAAACGTCTGTTTCATATGTTTCTTCCATCTCTAATTTTTCAAGTCGATCTTCGCTTTCTCGGATGAGATCCTCTGGGAGTAACATTTGCAATGTTTCTGTCGTCAATGCCTTTGACTTTCTTTGCGGGATTTGTCTTAATCCTAAAAGAATATTTATTTACTTTCACGTATGATAATCATTACGTTGTTTACCTGTGATTTCAGGATCAGAACTAAGCAGCAGTCTATTCAGTACATCCATGTTGCAAGCCTGTCTTGAGAACTTTCTGGAAAAATTTTGGCGGTATAATCTTAAATTCTCGATTCTATAGCTTCTTCTGACAGCTGCCCTATTGGTAGCAGTGCATGTTCTATAACAATGGTACTGTGGATTAAAATTTTATGCAGAGTTGGAGTCATTGGATACCACGGATACAGTCGAACGTATATCTCCGCTGTTTCTTGAGTAAATTTTCCAAATTTTTTCGTATCAATTTTAAAACCACTAGCTAGTGTCTCCAATATAACTTTAAGCCGGTAGATCAAATTAAAATCAACACCTGTTATTTGAGCAGCGGTTTCCGGATCAGCAAAGAATCTTCGACTAGTGTTGCCATCATTCGAATTTCCAAAGCCTGGTTTTGGAAAATCCACAAGGAGTCCCAATGTCTATCTGAAGTTTTCTTGAATGTGCTCTTTTCTTTCTTTGACGATTTCCTTTTCATTGCCAGTTAATCGCCATTTTTTGATCGGCAACTTGTAAGAAAGATGTAAAATTGTCTCAAAACTACGAATCCTGGCATGAAGAATGGATAATCCGAATTTAAGCGATTGGAGTGGAGATAACCGATTTGCAGCTTTTTTCGGATTCCTGTAAAATGCTTGCCTGTATTTGGTAGCCCGCTTAGGTGAAGCCATAATATCTCCTAAAACTTTAGAAGCATCTTTCTTTCCAGATGAGTATAACGCTATACGAGTAGCGTAGCTCAGTTCAGCAGGACTAACGGTTCTTCTCAAATCTTCTGTTTTTCTTCTTTTACTGCGTTCACTTGATTCATCGAAAGATATTTGAGGACGACCGGGTCGTTTCAGTGGTCGTGGAATCTCAAATGTACCTTGTAACCAATCATTGTTATCATGCAGGAACTTATCGACCTTCCTGGAAGCAGACATCCATCTTTGCTTGAATTGTGTTTTCAATTTTGCAATCTTTAGCGTCAATGCGCGTCTTTCTTCTTCCGAATAATCATAAAAATTCAATAGATAGTTCTCTATATATATCAATTTCGCATTAAAATCCAGCTCCTGTCCTTGCATTTTGTCAAACAAGTGGCGACGAGAAAACATTTTTATACCAGATGAGCCTACGATAATGATGCAAATAATTAACTTGGAACATATTGATTTTTATTTTATAATGGATGATTTCTGGTTTATTTTAGGCTCATGCACCATATTCACTTGAACATGTGACAAGAAGGAACCATAATACCAACAATCAATACGAAACTAACGATTTTAAATTGGCTCACCACTTTAGTAGCCTATTGGTCCCAAGCAAACGATTAACGTACCCTATTCTAGTTGAAATTCTATTACTACACTATGTTTGTTTTGATTCGCTATGAAAGTTTGACAGATAACATCAGGGGTGTGTAGATTCATGCAGAATATGCAGGGGTGAGTGAAATAGCTTGGAACTGCTTGGGACCGTTGTTCTGGTACTGAGCGAGCCAAAAATAATAATGATTTTCTTCGGGACCCAGTGGTCTTAGAGTTCCCGAAAAAAAATAACAACAAAAATACAATAAAAAACAATGTAACAATAAGACGAAAATTATTGTCTTAACAATGATTTATATTGTTACGTCTACAATAAATTTACCTTGATTTATGTTGTACAAAACAGTAAATTTCATGGTAAATGGAAAATTTACAATAAAAAAGGGGGGTTGTTAAGTATCTTAACAATGAAATTTTCGTGATTTCCCCATACACAGAAAAAAAAGTTGTTGAATATTACATCCAAACTGCTGCAACCAGGTCAATCCATCGGTTGTGTAATATAACGTTGTACGATGTACATCGATTTTGCGAACAAAATTACATCCATTGATGTAATATTGTATCTGCTTTTTGCTATTACATCATTAATTAATACATCAGCTTGAATTACATTGATCGATATTACATTTTTTTTTGCTGTGTATAATTTTTTTTCAATAACATTATATATTATTGTTATTTTACTGTTGGTTGGCGAATTTATTGATTAAAAAAAATAACAGTGTACTTTAGAGTGTATGTGTTGGCTTGACAGATCTACTTTATCGACTTTAAAAATAAATCGAAAAAATAAAACATCGCCCCGGGGAGGGAAGGGGGTGGTAACATAGAGGTAACTCTAAGACCACTGGGTCCTGAAGAAAATCATTATTATTTTTGGCTCACTCAGTACCAGAACAACGGTCCCAAGCAGTCCCAAGCTATTTCACTCACCCCTGCATGTTCTGCATGAATCCACACACCCCTGATGTTATCTGTCAAACTTTCATAGCGAATCAAAACAAACATAGTGTAGTAATAGAATTTCAACTAGAATAGGGTACGTTAATCGTTTGCTTGGGACCAATAGGCTACTAAAGTGGTGAGCCAATTTAAAATCGTTAGTTTCGTATTGATTGTTGGTGGTAATGTCTGTTACGGGTGAGTCCTTTTTTTACTGGTTATGGATTGAGATTCGATCCGGAACTTGTGAGAAATGGAAGCCAACTCCCCTGCACTCGATCTCTCTAGGTCACGTCTCCTTGGTGGTTGAACGTCGTTGATAAGTTAATGCATTCAACTGGAGAGAATCGCCCATGAAAATATGCTTCCACCTGAGAGTGATTTCCTGACATCTTCAAGTGGTGGATTTTTTTATTATTATTGTATGATTAGTGACTGCACGGAAAAGGTCTGCATTAAACGGGATTTAGATGAGGCAGGAGAGTTGAGTTCAACTCAAACCGATCTGGTCGTAGGCGTTCAATTGACTTGGCAACGAATACAGCCAAACGAACTGTCAAAGCAAGAGCCATACGAGCAGCACCTATCTTGATTACATTGGCAGTGTTGCTGACCCTCTCATAGTCTGCATGCTTCAATCAGATTTATTTTTATTGTTCGTGAAGTAACCCACAATGAAAACACACCAATATTTAATGTAACAACATTTTTATTGTAATAGAATT